AAAAAAAAAGAGAACATACGCAGAGTGCTCTTCTGGGCTCTTCCCAGCGATGACGGTCAAGACTAGCAGGTTCGCGATGGCGTCGGCGTTTGCGGGGTCCTTCTGGATGGCCTGCTCCAGGGCCACCTGCGCCTCCTCGGTGCGGCCCAGGTGCAGCTCCGCCACGGCCTGGGCGACGAGGGTCCGAGCCGACGACGATGCGGGGGACTGGGCGAGCTCTTCGAAGACGTAGAAGGCCTGCTGGTAGGCCTCGCCACCCTAGATTATCGCAAGAAATGGTGTCAGCTCCTGGCTGCGCGGGACGGGAGGGAGAACGGTCAGGGCGAGAGGGCATGACGCACTTTCCTCAGGCCAACCCAGGACTCGGCTAGGTTGACGAGCAGGCTGTCCTGGGCCCAGCTCCTTGCGGCCTTGACCTCCTTGAGCGCGAGGTCGTTGCGGTTCTGGGCGAGGTGGATCTGCACGAGCAGGGCGACGGCATCAACTGAGCACAGACAGAGGGTCGTCAGCTACAAAAGTCCATGGGCATAACAGAAGCGACCGGGTCCAGGAACATACGGCTCCCGGAGTGCTGCGACAGCAGCGCCACGGCCTCCTCGGTCTTGCCGGCGGCCTGCAGGACGATGCCGCCGACGACCTGGACGACAGTGTTATCGGCGGCATCGGCGGCCAGCTTCTCGGCGGCGGCGACGGCCTCTTCGGTCTTGCCGAGGCTCAGGCGGGCCAGGGCGCCGACGGCGGCCAGCTCGGGCTTGTCGGCCTCCTCGCCCTCGACGTCGGCCAGCACGTCCTCGGCCTGGCCGAGCGCGACGCGGGCGCGCAGCTGCAGCACGCGGGCGGGCAGGGCGTTCGCGGGCGACAGGGCCGAGATGTCGTAGTCGGCCGCCTCCTGGAACTGGCCCTGGTGGAAGTGGTTGTGCAGGTTGATGAGCTCGCCCTCGGCCGAGTAGGGGTCCATCTTGGCGGCTGTGCTTGCGGTGTCGGGCGGGAGGGTTTTGGGCGTCGCGGTTTTGGGCTTCGGTGGCGGGGGATACGGGATCTTGTTCTCAGGTGTATCAATGGGCTGCTCTCGTTCCAAGGCTCGCGCGTAGTGTCGGGTTGCTGCCAGAGTCGGCGGTCGGCGTCGCGAACCTCGAATGGTGGGGATATGTGGCCAGTGGCTTCCACCCTGGAGGCAAGCATTCCGATAACGATAAGGACTGAGCTGGCAATCAGGGGCTCGCATTCGAGGAACCCCACACCAGGAGCTCTTGGAGACGGGATGGGGCACTCATGAATCAAAGACGGATGATGCATCTAATATATCTCGCAAACTCTTAACAGCAAAGCGGGATGGTCTGTCTATCCATAAATGGCAATTATCTCCCCTCTCTGCAATGCGCGCTTGAACATATCGGCGAAGCCCTGTGTGCCGTGACAATCGCTTTCCATTCTCTTGTCCTGCGCCATGGGCATCCATTTGCGAAGGTTCCCTATGCGAGATTCGTTCTGTTTCCCAGATCAAGGCCATCAGATATGTTCGTAGATAGAGCCACAGGACAAGCGGAACAAGACTGATCTGGGGTCAAAGACGTACCGACGGATGAGTGCTCAGCCATTCCGGCACCTGTTGCTCCTGCATCCTGCCCCAGAAGTTTATTGCTTCCTCGGGATTGTAGCAAGCCTCAGCCATCATTATGAGGCCAATATGGTCGGCCTCGCTCTCTTGCATTCGACTCATGGGGTTGTCCAGCACGCCACGCAGCATGCGGCCGCCACCAAAGAACTCAAAGATGAGAATAGCGCCCGTGGCGTACGCAAGCAGTATGGTGCTCCAGTACACGAGGTTGGTGCCAATTCCATTCGACATCTTCTCCGACACGTGGCCGGCCAGGTTGTGCGCAATCTCATGACCCATCACCACGGCCAGAGCATCGTCGTTGCGCGCGTACTTGAACAGGCCGCTATGGACAAAGACCTTGCCGTTGGGCAGGACGAAGGCGTTGGCCGTGTCTGGTCAGGCCGGCCATGACTGAGGTCAACACTAGAGCGCATTCACCTCAAGCGTGCTGTGACGGCCCCACTCACTAGGATCATCAATGACAAACATCTCCCACTCCGCGCCATCCATGCCGCTCACGGGGATCAGCCTGGACATGACCCGGCGCACGGCGCGGACGCGCCAGTCCCATTCGGGTAGCATGTGTATGTTGTGGTACTTGAACTCGTTTAGCAGCTGCTGCGACTCGGCCTCGCTAGCCCGCCGGACCCATTCGTCGCTGAAGCAGTTGAAGCGCTGCCGCCCCGACACAGGAACAGTCTCGAGGTTGATGTAGTAAAAGGCGATGGCGCCGGCGAAGGCGATGACCACTATCACATGTGTCGAGGGCGCCCGCGCGATCCGCTTAGCCCGCGTGCTCGAGAAGAGAGGGACGGACTTGCGGCGCATCATGTCTTGCACGCGAGGGTCGCGGGGGTCCAGGAGCCGCCGCGGCATCGTGGTCGAGAAGGGGGCGGCGGTGGTCCATTGATAGGGAAGACATGCCGCCACCGCCACTGAGGCCGGGCGTGGGGAGGCGCGGCCGGGCCGGGGTAGAGGGCGGAGGGCGGAGAAGGGTCGGGAGAGCGTGCTCGGCAATGCGGCAGCGCATGGAGGGGGCCGGGCAGCAATGCTACAAGGTGAATGGCGCGTGCTTGCTAGGAGCTGCGGCCCCTTCGTGGCGGCAGGCCGGAGCCTCTGCACAAGTACCGTCATGGTGAACATGGTTGAGGCGACGAGCCTCAACCTCGACCAAGCGACGGAAAGCTGCTATCTGAGCTGGTGATGTGGGCGCGAACCAATCTTACCGAGCTGATTCCCTGAACCAAGAATGACGCTATTTAGCGAAGGTTGACCCACTTCAGCTCAAGACCCATAAATACTCACTTGAGACCTCAAAACGTGCCAGTCGGAAAAACATATCAAGAGAAACAAAATATCGCGGAAAGTGCGGAAATACCACAGAAATGTATTCAGCCAGTGCTTCTTGTCCCATTCATCAAACCCACACATCCATTTCCACGCGCAGTAGCCTAGTAGGCTCGACGGCACCTATGGTGGTACCCCCAGCTTCCACATGGCCAGCTGCTTCTCTTGGGATGTAATGCGTCTCGCTAGCACATCCCAAGTCCCCAGGCAAGGCCTCCCACATTTGGGGTCCGGAACTGGCGTTTTCAGGGTCATACGCTCGAGGAAGTGCGTGTTAAAGTGGTACTGGGGCTCAAGGAGGCGACGAACAATGTGCTTGTAGGCGCCAGCTGCGGGGGTGGGCAGTACTCTGTGGCGTGGGCTGCGAAAAGTAATTAAGACGCAAATACAGGAATGGGTTCGAACCCATGCGGCGGCAACCTGGGGCGGCTGACCGAAGAGGGGAGCCACGATTTTAGTTGGCAGCACAGAGGCTCGAAAGCGCCCTGGACGGAACTGAGGGGGAGCTGGCCGGGAAAACGTGTGCATTCAGGGATTGCGGCGCACGCTGGTGCGCGTTGTGGATGGTAGAGTCGCATTGGACTACCTAGGTATCTGGCTGAAGCAAAAGGCATGGATGACGGCGGTGCTCAAGCCGGTCAGCTAGATTGTTCTGAGCCGGACAACTTCCTCGGTGGTGGGGAAGAGCACTGGCGACAGACACGCTGGAAGCGACACCCTTGAACCAGCTAGGAGAAACAGAAACGGATGGAGGGAACGACGAATGGAGCAAGCGGAAGAGGTGGGTAAACTCTTACTGGTCTCAAAGCTCTGGGCTGACACCAACACCCAACGACCACCTTGAATGAAAGCTTCTTCCTGATCAAGTTGCTCCCTCTTTTGACGCTCGGGATAGCTGATACTAGGCTCTGAAATGAATCAAGTGAGAATATACAGCGTGCCATATCTGCGCGGTGCATTCTAATTCTTCCATAAGCGCCTGGCTAGAAGACAAGTTCCTTGGTGTCTTATAACTATCGCAACTCACACCTTTGCGTATTTTTGCCGGCTCTGGCTTTTGCCATCCACCCCCGGTTGTTATGGAAATATCTCCGCAGTCCTCCTCGCTGGTGACCTAAACCGACTCCTCGCTCTATGCATTCTTGGGTCGGACCAAACTAGGTCTCCTAGACAAAAATGAAGAGGCTTACAGTAAAGTGCAGCCATCAAAAGCCTCAGCATCTGTTCCGGCTTTCGAGGGATATAATACATGCTACGTTTGCCCGCCTGACTGGCCAAAGTGCCAGACCGAGTTGCTGCGTGGAAGTGGTAACCTGCGTTATGTCATATAATATCATTTCGAAATTCCGCAGCATATCAAGTACCTGCGTACCTAGGTAGGTACCTTGATAGCTGCCCATCTACCTAACTACTTGCCTATCTAGGCAGGCGCTACTGACACAGAAAACTTCCAAGCAATTCCCTACCAGTCACCTTTACCTCAACCTACATCTGCCTTCGCAAGTGACCTTGATCTTTTCTCTCCATCGCTTCCTAGGGAGTACAGTAACGCACCCAATCCTGACCGCCACATTTCAGGGCCATCAGTGAAGCACATCTCCTCCCAGGTCCTGCGGCAGGGCGATAAAAACACGACCCTTACACGCATTGCCAAGATATTCACCTTGTTATAGCCCTTTGACCTCCGTGCTTTCTTCACGTTCAGTTCACTTTCCTTTGCCGCTGTCTACTTCCTCCACCATACCAATGGCTTCCGGCAGCCAGCTCTCTACGATGCCAAGTCCGCCCGTCCATCCACAAGACACGACCGAGGAGACGGCTGCAGCACTCAGAGCTAGCGCCGTGATCGGCAGAAAGCTGGACGCTTTGCTAGAGCAGAACTTGTTTCAAGAGCAGTTCCCTGCGATCGGCCAGCAGATCTCAAATTTTAGGACTGCCTTCTCTGCAGCCAAGACCGAGTTCATTGGAGATTCGTGCCGTCTTCTTCCCCATATTCAAGACGGACAAGACAATGAGAACGACAAGACTGCCGAGCTCCAACTTGCCATCGCTCTCTTTCGACAGCGTGCCAGATTCGCTGAGGATTTCATCGCCAAAAAGCACGAGGAAGCTAGCACCCTCCAAAGCACCGCCCTCAAGCTGCTGGCAGACGGCTTCCAGAGCCACCTTGGTCGGCCCTCCCTACAGCCGCTGATCGGCAGCGAGGTGCCAGTTCTGTTACTGTCGTTCGGAGGTCCTTCTATCGGCCATTCAAAGCATCCGCTCCAGACGAAGGTCGAGTCTCGAGCTCTACAAGGCGATGACCAGAGCAAGGCAGGTGGTGAAGACGTAGGCTGCGAGGAGGAAGAGTGGTTCGAAGATCAGCAGATCATCGCCACGATCAAGCAATCCGAGAGAGCACTACGCCAGCGACGCTTGCGGAAAGCCCCAGATGCCGCAACTGTATTCGGAGTGGCGAGCATCGACAAAGCATCTCGCCCAGGAAAAACAAGCAACACGAGGACTAGTGTTGGCGACATCGTGCTGGCCGGCCAGGGCAAGCTTCTTATCGTGACGACATGGCTCCCCAAGGCTCCAAAGGCTCCGAAGCTAAGCGTCCACGGACAAACCATTACTGTCGCTTGGCATCATGAGCGCGAGTCTCCAGAGGAGCTGGTCATGCCGACAGTCGGCTTCACTATCAAGCACCGCCGTCGGCTCAACCCGCTCAAGGATGGTGCTTTCCCTCGGGCCACCGAGAATGAGCAGGCCACAGAGGTTGACTGCGGTGCTTCCGACACGAGCGTAGAGCTTTGCTCGCTCTCCGATGACTGCGACTACGAGGTTGCGCTCAACGTACAAACAACGGTGGGCGTCTCAGAATGGAGTGTCTTCTCCGTGGCCCGTACAGCCAGGCTGCCGTCGGTCGTTTCTGAGATGGTGGACTTCTTCGACAAGAACAAGCTAGCACTCTCGAAAACCGACCCTGGAACGCAGGACAAGCCTTGGGAACTGGATGCTTCCAGCAATGGCTGTCGCAAGCAAACCCTCTTCCTGGGTCTCACCGAATCATCGCGGCGCTGTAGCAGGGATGGGCTATTTCAAAACGAGGTTGCCATCCGCATCGCCGATGTCGCTGCCGCATTCAAACCCGAGATCAAGGCTGCTCCTATTGATGACCACGACAATACCGTGGTGGCCGTTTTCGCGGGAACCAGCGGACATGGCAAGAGCACTGAGATTAACGCATTCGTTTCGTTCCTTTTGGGCGGCGAGGTAGACGATCCGACGAGGATCATGGTCGTGGACGACCGCGGGATCCCACAGTCGGGGTCAGTGACGCAAATGGTCACCTGCTTCAGGATCCGACCGTTCTCCCCCCTGTTCCAGGGCAAAACACTGCTCATCGTCGACACGCCAGGCTACGGCGATTCCCGAGGCATCAGCCGCGACGCCTTTGTCACAGCAGCCATGTCCGAGTTCTTCAACACGATCAAGCATGTCAACGCCATCATCTTCACTTGTCGCGCCAACGAGGCGCGCACTACCTTTCTAGGCCTCATCTCGACCTACGTCTTCTCCCTCTTTGCCAAGGATGCTCGCAGCTGTCTACGTACCATTTATACCTTCAGCGACGCTGGAATCCCGCTTGCTCGCGGCGCCCTCACCGAACTAGGGTGGCCGGTCGAGAACGGCGAGATTTCAGTCAACAATAGCGCATTCACCATGGAGCTGGATGGCGGCCAGGACGACCGAGCGGTCCGCGAGGGCTGGATCCAGTCCGTCAGGGGCCAATTCCAGCTGATCCAGGCTCTCCTTCGCGCGCCAGCCATACCAACGGAGAAGAGCGCTCAGGTGACGAAAAATCGCGTCTTGCTTGAGCAGCAATGCGAGCTTGCGGAGAAGAAGATTCTCCGTACTGCCAACGATGCCCAGCAGCTGAACGCCCACATGGGTGCACTCGCCGAGGCCGTCGGAGCAGCTCCGGGCGAAAAGATCGAGGTGACCGAGGTCCGGGCGGCCCACAGGCCCATCACAAACGGCAAGGCAACAACCCTTTGCCTCGACTGCCACATTACGTGCCATGAAATCTGCAAACTCTATAATGATGAAGACAAAGCAAAATGCTCTAGTATGAGGAACGGCAAGTGTACAGTATGCGAGGGAGAGTGTGACTGGGACAGACACAAAAACGCCACATTCACCATCACCGCCCATCCATACACCACCTGGGTGGTGCCTGAGGACTTGATCCGTCACTGGAGCTCCAACAATAACACACTTGAAGGTGCTCTCATCACTGCCATGGACACATACCTCAAGTTTCAGGAAAACCTACGGCGCGATATCCTGGACCTTGCCACGCTGAGCGAAGAGCTCACAAAGACGGCCCTCCTCCACGACCCGACCAACTTGATCAAGTACATCGACACGATTATCCAGACGTCGCGGGTGCAGGGCGCCCCCGCCACGCACCTGGTCCAGCTGGCCACGGCCAGAAACACCCTGGTCCTTGTGCGCGAGGTCAAGGCCAAGGGACAGTGGGCGACTCGGGACCCGATGATCCTAGCTCAGGTCATAGGCTCCGTCCGCAAGGAGATGGACCGGAGAATGAAGCTCTCCCCTAAAGAGCGGGCGGCGGAGGAGGAGAGGCCGTGCAGCCTGTACAACGATCTTCGCGACGGCCTGCCCGCCGAGATCAAGAGCAAGGCCCCGCCCAAGCTCGAGGGGCGAGGCTTGAGGTCGAACGGCGCGCTCTATCCGGAGAATCTGAAGGCGATCGTGAAGCTGGTGCAGCTCGTGCTGACGGACGGCGGCGTCGTGGCTGCGCTGGCCGCTTCGGGTCATAAACTGGAGAAGTGAGGCGGACGTGTCAATCTCATGGGATGCCGCTACGAGAGGAACAGACCAAGAGAGACTGGCGAGGCAATCAGATAGGAAAGCGGGATCAAGCCGAAAATTCAGACTAGAACCCGCAGTTATCAGTAAAGTTTTGCGATGCTAACGAGAAAAATTATTTTCGAGACCTCTCCAGGGCTGGATTGGATTCCTGTCATTACCATATCCAGTAGAGACTTATCTAAGTGGCTTGCGTATACTTTCGCCAGAGCATATCCTAGTATTCCAAAATATGGTAGTCGGGGCACTGAAACTCCCGTCCTTCTCGGATACGTACCCCAAGCAGTAGAGCCCAATGTAGATATGGATTCTTTTCCGCATAGATACATCCTAGATTTGTGTTAACACCGACAGATAATACCCATCCGTTCCAGTAATGGACTCCCAAAGTCGTCTGCATAAATAAAACTGATACAGGCCAGCAAGCCGCGTACTTGAAAAAGATTATCCACGGACCCTTCGCGGGTTGGGCGCGTGGAGGGACACTGACGAGGCAGGGCGAACGTGATATGGAGCCAAGCACTGTCAGGCTGCACTTACTCCTTGTTGTGACAATATAGAGCCCAGATAGAAATCCTAGTTCACCACATGTAGGGTGACATTCACAAGCCGTGGCGACGGGAACCAAGTGTCGACTGCATCGCACGGGTATCGACTCGAGGGAGGGACTTGGCGGCGGGGACACTCCAAACTCTATATTGCCAACGGCCCGATGAGAAAATACTAGCTCCTTCCGAGGTACCTGTCGAACTATCCAAGCGAATGGAGCTCTGTCCGGTGACGAAATAGAAAGTCAGGCACAGGGGGCATGCGTTCGGCCAGGAAACACCGACAGCGGGAGAGCGGGAAGGATGAGGATGGGGCCTGTATAAATGCACAAAACCCAATTGGTCGAGCAAAAACGAGAAACATTGATCGGGCTGTCAAACAACATGATGCAGGAAACAAGTCCCAAACTCTACTATAAAATGGTGCCTTGGCCGGTTGTTCGGCACAATGACATGCTAAAATTAGCGGCCCAAACACGCTGGATCTTCATCGGTACCACGTACCTGCAGGGGCCTGCCCGAAAGATCAAAGTTATCAGCCCGTTCGTCCCATGGTAGCAGACCTGTCAGGAGTCATGGTGCCCCGGCCGAGAGTCATGTCGGGCGAGGGTTCGAGTCCGACGCATTGCGCTGGAGCCGCCTGTGCCTGAGAGCATGACGCGGAAGGCGTGGCGCCGCAACCAAGAAGAGCGCAGCCATGTAACCCGAAAAGAGGAAACTCGGTCTGAGCGAGATGGGTATCAGGATAAAGTCCTCATCAGGAACCCGTCAGCCCACTTATGGCGGGTTAGCCTTGCCTTCCCGCTCCGGGTGGGGTCGTTCTTCCATTTCAGCAGGCAGATCACCACAATGCAAGATATCCACATGCCGCTGGGCGAAATCGGACGTGGCTCTATGGATGGGGACTTGAATATGGCGACGGTGCGGGATGGGAGGGGTGCGTGAATGTCGTGGAGACGATGCATCCTTGCCAGGCCTTACCATCCACTTTTCCAAGTAACCCACTGATATCTGGGGGCGTGGGTGGAAATGTTGGAGCCCTTTGCAAGTGAATGGGCGCCTCAAGGCAGAGCAGATGAGTATATAACTTCTGTCTGTTGCCCTCCAACCTGATGTGTGTTTTCCTTTCTCCTCATCCGCATCGATCCCAATCTCCTAAGTCTTTTCCCTTTTGTCATTCTCCTTTTGTCATCTTCTTTCCTACTCGCCATTTTTGCGCTTCATATCCCTTTTTGGTGTTTTTTTTTATATCGCTTCCGAAGACACCCCCAGAACAAACCAGAACCCGCTCCCAAAAAGCAGCCAGCCACTAGCTATCATCATGCTCGCCAAGGAACTCCTCGTCGTCACCGGACTCGTCGTCTCGGGCGCCGTCAGCCTGCCCCTGAGTGCCACCGCCGAGGCCCCGGCCATCCTCGAGCGCGACCTGAGCAGCGACATCAATGCTATCGCTCTAGAGGCTCGGGCCCCCGTCAGGGGGAAGAAGGATCCCGCCAGCGTTCCCCAGAGCCAGTGGGCCAACCCCTTCCTCCCACAGGTGGTTGACAAGCCCAAACCCAAGATGCCCGACATGGAGGCGGGCTGGAGCAAGCCCAGAGAGTCCACGTCCAAGGCGGGCTCCGACAAGCCGCCCAAAGTCCCCAAGAAGAACGGCAAGCGCGACGTAGAGAAGGCTGAGGCTGCCGAGTACGACCAGTAATCACTTATTAGGACATCTCGCGGCTCGCTGCCTCTTCCCAAGGCCCGGAATCCTCCAGGCCAACCCGGTGTAAACCCTCCCCTGCGTTTGCTCCTGTTGTTGCTTTTTGTCCATACATGGCCGCGATGGTCCAGCTTTTTGTTTGGTTTTTGGTTTTTAGTTTTGGTTTTGGTTCATTCTGGTGTAAAAAGGGGGATTAAGGAACGCAAAATTTATCGTCAAAGGACCTGTAGGCAAAGTAGCTAGCCCGCTAAGCAAGGGATTACTCTTTGTTCTCATGTGTTGTGCCTCCTCGACTGTGCCACCTTGCCTTTTGAACACCTCGGTGTTGCTGCTTTTCATCTCCTAAAGCATCCCTACCACCGTTGTATCGATGTCCGTTTTGACCATCATAGCCCTGCTGCGGAGCTTGATAGGTAGCTTTGGCACAGATCTCCGGTTGATCGCTCCTCCGCGGCCCAAGTGTGTTTACGAACACTTCCCAGGAGATGTTGACCCTAATTTTCAACAGGATCCACGGTGCAACATAGCATGCAAAGTTTAACAAGGATTCTGCCAACCTTTTTCCTAAAGCCCAAGCGCGGTGTTCAATAGCTGGATACTCAGTTCTGATTCCTGAAGTGTGCATTTTTGGTTCAACTCAACCGACTGCTCCCGCTCCCTGACAGGCGTCGCGACGGACCACTCATGCCCAGGACACGGCTCCTGCGCTGTGCGTCCCAAGTGGCGTCGTCCAGCCCCTCCAGCAGGTTCATCGAGTCCAGCTTCAGTTAGGTAGGTAGATAGGTAAGGTAAGCACATATCCATATACCGTCAGACATTGTCTCCATCCCTCATGTTTCCAGGCGGAAATCTCGTCACAGCCGCCATTGAATCCCCCCACAGCGTCAACAAAGCATTCCTTATGAATGCCCAAGGCTACAGGCTCCATCAGGCTCACGGCCAACTCCCACGGCGGCCAGGAGCCCTGGCAGTGCAACTCGGTAGGTCCATGCGAGCGCCGGATCACGCATCTCCCCACGAGGCGCCGCCGAGTCCAGCTCTTGGCCCCTCGGCCCTGCCACAGTGTCTCGTCCTTGGCCCCGGCCTGCCCGGTCTCTTCCGGTGGCATCCCCGTGCATCCTGGCGGGCTGGCCACGGCGGCCTGCAGTAGGCGAGGCCGCCAACGCGATGGCCGCGATATCCGGGACGCGAGGTATATACCTACACTAGTGCCTTGTGTGTCAGCAGAACTGGCCGCATTGAACAGGCTTTTGGTGGCCTCTACGAACAGCGATCGGATCTTGAACGGGATTGGACGAATCCGAGGTGTCTGCCATGTGCTCACTGTTGCCAGAGGCTCCTTTCGGGGCCCTTCTGCCGCAGCGAGTCTTGGCCATTGCGGCCTAGCCACAGAGCCAGGTAAATGGGACGTGTGAAGCAAAAACGCGAGTAGGCAACTCTTGCCTCGAGTTCGCATACCCGCCACCGACCTCTATAAGCTGCTGGTAGGCTGCACTATTGTGGCCATACTACCTCCCCCCAAGTCACGGTTGCCAGACTCGGGATCTACCTGTGAGCACCAGCTCCAAGGGTCAGGCATGGGCTGCCAGCTCTTGTTCTCCAACCCCCAGAGCTAGCAGACAGCCGGCTAGCCGTCCAGGTACTTCTCGTCACCAATTATCAGCTCCATTCGGCTCCGTCTGGAAGGCCCCGTCCGTGTGGTTGGAGACGAAGCCTCTGAGTTGAATCCCAGCCCGTTGCAGCCGGTCCGCCCCGAGGGCGGCACGGTAGGTGCGTTGGGGAAGACTGGCCTTTGGACGCCCGCTGCAGACGGGCCAGACACAGCTCGGTACTTCCCGCCTCCCGTGATATAAGATGGCAAAAAATAGGATAGTAGAGTAAAAGAATCCATGACAGAAAATCCTCGCTGCTCAAATGGCTAGAGGTACTAGACTGCCCATGGGGTGCAAGGAGGTGTGGCGCGCTACGACGGAACAGCGGTTGGGAGACTTCACGATGGGGGTCAGGGAGCCCAAAACGGCAGTCGCAGCTTCAAATCCCGCTTATTCCCAACCCAAGCCTAGCTCAAGCTCTGCCGCCGTCACATTGCATGCATGCACGAACCTGGTTTCTGCATGTGCACGACAGGCCCAGCTGCAGTCCCCATGGCTGCTCGCTTCGAAAATTGGGATGAACTGTCTCATGCCCTCTCTGAGCACTCGTCGTCGACTATACGCTCCGGGTTCCGAAGGTCGCATTGGGGCCTGGGCGTTCCCAAGGTTGAGGAACGGTCTAGCAAGACGAGGACTCCCTCTTTCCAGCATAAAAAGAGACGTTGGTGTCGCAGTCTATCAATCCCCCATGTCGCCGAGTCGGTTCCGGACGCGGCGGCCCAGCGGTCGCTTGATCTCGAGCCCGGGGTGCGTCGGACACAGCCGCTCGCCAATCGCTGCGATAGTACCTATCAGAGGGGTCGGTAAATCGCATCGCCATCACGGCCGTGAAAGACAGCTGGCATCTTTGTCCAGATGACAAGCATACAAGATGAGAAGTACAAACGCAAAGATGGTGGCGGGGCAGCACTTTGCGTTTACCTCACCTACCCAGCCGTCGGTGAGAAAGGAGCCTCTTCATCCATATTTCCCGAAACGGCAACCCGTGAGGGAAAAAGAGCCAACCAACGCCGACCATGACAGGAACGGTGTGCATGTCTGCCCACACCCAACAGCCTACCCCCACTTGCAGACGAACCCTTTCTCGTCCTGCAACCCACATCCCGCCCCTCCATCGCGACATCGCCAGCGACAGAGTTGACGCTCGGGGCCGCCACCTCTGTCCTCCTATCGTTCCTCCTCCCGGATCCGCTAACCAGATGTAGCACCACCTGGTCGCTGCCTACTGGTGGAATTGCGTCGAGTGCTCTCGCCATCCCGCCTCGTCTCGCTGCAGCTTCGGGATGCTACCGCTACCTTCTTGGCGGTGCGTCGCAGCGACCGTTGGAAAAAAAAAAAACGACGTTGGGAGAATATGCAGGACACAGCAAACAAAGGACGAAAATACCTCGCAGACGGCCTCGATGTACCTTCTGGTGCTCGCGTACTGTATTCGTTCCTGGACCCGGGGATGGGCGCCTGGAGTGCCTCCGCCGTTGCGGTCAGTCCTCGGCCCCATCCATCCCACATCACGCCCCCAGCCGGCACCTCGTCACGCCAGAGCTGCTTGGGAGGGGGGCGAAGGAGATCAGGCCGATGACGGCCGGCCCTCTGTCCCACCTGGATCATCCACGGACGCCCAAAGGCCGCGTCTCCTCGCTGGGTGGTGCCCAGCCGGAAGGAAAAGACACGATGTGATATCGTGATTTGTGTCTGACGTGCCAGCGATGGCCGCCCCGTCTCTTCCCTTTCCTATTGGCGATAACACCAAAGATTGGCCAACTTGCTGATATCATCGGACCGAGGAACCGTTAAGGCACATCCCAACTGCATGTCATCGGCATGCATGCCGGTGGCCACCGCCGTTTTTCTTACTCATCTCAGCCCGGCGCCCAAATCTACATGGCGTCCGGTCACGGTCACGGAAAGTTCGACAGATGAGAGAGAGAGCGCGAACACGTAGAACAATTCCGCCATCACACCCACGCCTATTCGCCACAGACATGGGCGATATCTAATGGGTGCACGACCGTCTCCCGTCTCGCTGGAGGCTATGTACTGCGGAGCACCCGGGCGATGCCCAAGTCAGCGCCACGGGCTTCTCCCGAAAAAAAAAAAAGGTTGTTACACTACGTTCAAAGAAGCGGCTGTTCAGATAGGGTCAGACTCCCACTCGATAGGCGGGAAAGACGGGGATATCGCGGCTAGAAACAAACACTCCTAAGCGGATCGAGAAACAACCAACCTCTAGGGCTACTTCCAGACTGTTCAGGCAAAGGCAGTGGTGGCCATGCCGCCCACGCCTCTACTGTCCGGCGGGTTTCTCTTTGCATGATCTCCGATATTGGATTTTTGCTTCCTACCCGCCCCGGCTCCGGCGCGGCCGAATGCCACATCTGGAAGACGCCCAGTAAGCGCCACCTTCACCCATGGTGCAAAATTTCCCTTGCATCTTTCCTCCTGGTCCCCGCACGACCCCCATGGTTGTCTGATATCCGCCCATCTACTCTACTTCCACATCCAAAACGGACTAGAGATTACTAAACCCACCATGCAGCCGGATAGCGGAGAAACATGCCAGCTAGGAGGGGGGCCTTGGGGATATTGCGATCGGGCGCTAGATACACCGCGTTGGGTTCATGCAGTGGTGGATTGTTCGCGGTTGGACGGCCGTGTGTGGTGGGTGGTGCGTTTTGGCCATGACACCCCGGGTGCCCCCTTGGCATCAAACGGCTACCGTCGACGGCGAACGCTTGCGTCCCCTGCAACAAGTGACATGAAGGACATGTATCTTTGGCAATAGACGGGCTGTTGCAGCACAGTGTCCCCATTCCTCACTCTGATTCGACGCCTGTCATACTCGGGACATGGCCGGCCCCGCACGGGGAGACCTATATCGGTACCAGTATCAACAGCTATCACCCTCTTGCATTGAAATTGAGCACTTGGTTCATACTTGTCGTCCGAGCCCCCGGTGCTGTCGGAAACATTGTAGGATCTCGTGGAAAACCCAAACAGCACTTCCACCCTGATCGCTCTCGGAAGGGCCAATCGGGAGAGCAACAACGCGGCTGGAGATCCAAGCAATGGGGCTATAGGAGGTGGCATAAGTCACCGTTGGCAATCACATCCAGAAAGCCAGGTCTTTCCTGGGCTTGTCCCGAAGATGAAACGGTGGATGAGGACGGGTAGAGGGGCGATGGGCGCACCAAAGACGGGGCTGAAAGTGCGTGCGTGTGTTCTTCACTGACAAGTTTCATCATCGACCAGTGACGTGCAATAGCTGGTAGCAGGAGGGACCTGTCAATCGCGACGGGCTAGTCACGAAAAAGCAAAGCGTGATTCGTCCAGCATCTCGACGTCTCCTGTCTCGTATATCCTTGGCGGGCGCCCGGTTGCGCGCGACTAGTCGTCGCCGCCTTGTCTCGTGTGGCGCTAAGCAGCCACTGGGCTGGGCCATCTTTTCCTTCTACGGGTGCCACACCACCACCACCACGTGTGTGGGTGGGCATTTTTGCTTCTGCAACGGTTTCCAGTGCGCAAGCCACACTCGGAGGACTTGATTCAGAGAGAGATACTGCACCTTTCTCGTCTGACTGGACCTGGGATCTGCGCGGCCTGCAGACTCGGAAACACTTTGGCTTGCGCTGTGATGCCCCAATCGCTGTTTCTCTTAAACGCCAAACAACAACAAAAAAACCCCGAGATGATACGTAGTAAGGCCGTGCCCGCTTTAATGCGTGCCTGATAAGCCGGCACACATTGGAAGTGAGCGGTTGCTCACCGTGCACAGTACAGTAAAGCCCCTAGGACGATCGGCATCACTCGACAGAGTACTTTGGCGGTTCGCCGCCCCAGTGGACGAGTACTTGCAGCGGCGTCCCCGGATGTGTCAGGACCAGGCACCTTTCGTTAGCGGATTGAGGGGAAGCAGATCTGGCGCTTGACTAGCCGCATCTGTGTTCTTCGGTGCGTAAATATGGGTGGTAACTGGTGGGCAAAAGAGTCGGTCGGTCACATCGCTTTGTGGCCCCCTGAGGGCGCGAGCTTAAAAAAGGAGTCGCCCGTTGCAGCGTCGCAATCTCTCATTTCCGGTCGGTAGGGACTTGACGGTGTGGTGGTGGTGGTGGTGCGTGGTGTGCATACAGGAAAATCTATGGGTCCTTGCTTCTCAGGCGGAGGAACAGAACGATGTGACCCTCCCTCTTTCTCCCGATTGCATTCCGCAATGGCGATATGCCGCGGGGTCGCTCTATATTGGAACACCATTTCCGCCGCGGCTCCTTTTGACTTTTTGCGGCGGTGTAGATGGCAATATGTGTCTGCCATCACAACGGGTAATTTATATGTGGTTTACATTTGGAACTTTTGGCTCGATCCTCTCCCGCCTCTACCCAAGCAACCTCGGTCCACCCGCCAGACCACGACGGCGGCCTGCGTCCGCGCCGCACGCAGGCGCCCTCTGGTACGACAAAGTGCTTGCATGGGTCGTTGGACCAGCCGTGGTGAATCCGTGGGGATTGTTGCTCGGCCGGGGCAAACGCTCCCGTTGCTGACATTGACATGGGGTCGTCCAGGCCTGCCCCCCCTGCCGAGCCCGTAGGCTGACTGACGGTACCGCGCAGGTGCAAGGACCAGCACAGTAGGAAGGCTCGCATTCAAGATAGGCTCCACCGGCGGCTCCAGTGTCAACGAGATTCCAGCCGTGCTGCTGGAAGAAATGACGGCACCAAGAACCCAAACCGACAGTTTGTTTCCATCCCCTTTCTAAAAAATCTACGGACCGGTCGTTGGCGTGTCGGCAGCGGCGGGCTTGGTAAAACATCACTGGTTCGCGCCGTTGGGTGGCACTAAGACTGCACGAAATGGAGCTGACCCACGACGGATAAGGGACCTTTTTCTCCCGAGGTGTGGACATGACAAGGGACCCTGGAAGGACGGTGGACATTTGACAGCTTGGGACCTGCAGAGAAAGAGCCAGGCACACAGGCACGACAGGGCATGGGATGGATCCAGCTGACATGATGGAAGGAAGAGAAAACAGGCAGGCCTCACGCAAAAAAAAAAAAGAAGGACCTATCCGCTGTGCCACCCTTGTGCCCTCGAGTCGCTGTGCCACGCAGGCGTCGCGATGCTCCTCTTTTGGGCGTTCGCGCATCACCGAGCTGCAGGTCGCAAGTCGCAATCTTGGAAAAACGGACAGGAAAGTCTTCACCGCCCTTCAACGAATGTTCTTTTCTGTCGCCCAGGAGAGGAAGGAGGGCGACGGCAGGTCAGAGGTCAGGCTAATGAGGAGCAACGTCTTGGCGTGGGCGATCGCCCTGTTGCGGTTCCTGCATGCAAATTGACGATTTGCTGGACTTGATAAAGAGCATCACACACACACTTCTCCACCCACTTCTTCACCCCCCGCAGCCCTTGAGCAGATTAGTGTGCTGTTCATTTTCCTAGGGGTAAGATAAACCAGGACACGAGCCTCGCGGCGAAGATTGCTCCCGTCCTGTGCGTTCATGCTAGTATGCCGTGAGAGTGCTGCCGAGTTGATGAGCCCTCTTTTTTGACAGGCTTCACAATAAATCCAGCTCAATGATTGGCACGGTCAGCCCTCTGCTAGGTAGGAAGCCCCAGGGAACATCACACGCGCACATCATCGGGACGGGATCCATAACATGCGGAAGGAATAACGAGAGAGAAAAAAGAAGAAAAAAAAGATCAGACGAGCGGACGATGGGGGGCCTGGAAAGGCCTTTCCCGACAATGAGGGTGGAGATGTTCATGTTTATTCCATGGGGCGGCTCCCCGGGGAGAGGGGGCGTGTTCCATAATTCTTGAGACAGCTTGTTTTGACCCAAACGCGAGCGCGCGCGAGCTATTGAAACATGAAGAAAGATTGGACTGCCATTTACCAAGGACTCGTTTGTTCCGTCTTGTTCGCTGTTTCTCTCTTCTCGCTTGTTCGGGTCGCCTCTCCATCCCTTGCCCTGGCGCGTCTCCATTCCTTTGCCAGTCCATGGCCTTTGCTCCCAAGCCGGGATGCATTTGGCGAGATGGGAGACCCAGGGATCTGAACGAGAGGAAAGAGGGCCCAAAAGAGGTGATGTACCTCACAACCTGGACGCGTCGAGCTCGCACAGTCAGGTCTTCAGAGAAGGACGTACTGGACGTCCCCTTGAGCCGACCTTTTTCCTCAAGATGCTGGCATGTCGTTCGTGCACCCGGAACACTTGTTGTCTCGATACACGCTCATTGTCCTATATTTACTCACAGAAGTCCACCAGGTGCTACTTCGCCCCAAGTCAGGCGGGAGAACTAGGGCTTTCAAGGCTGTGCTATGATGTCTAGCGACCCTGTCCGCCGAAGCAAAGACGCGAAACCGCAGCCTTGCACTGCGTGCGGTGGCACCTTTCTTTTTCTCCTCCGGCGGGGAGTTGATTGGCCAGAACGAGTCGTGCCGTTTGTTTGTTTTGTTTGAAGATTGCGGTCGGGATGGCATGTCGCGAACTCTCCTTGATGTTTTATTATTATTATCCCCCGCTCATCTCGCGGGGACAGCTTTGGCAGACGCCAGGCTCCCAGGCACATGCGAGCCTCGTCCCTGGCCTGCGGCCACGCGAGGGGAGAGTCCCCTCGAAAAGCACGATGTTTCATCAAACAAATCGGAGAATAAAGTCCGGGAACCCCTGCAATGAAGGGGAAAAAATTGAAGCGGAGGGGAAAATAGCAGGGACCTAGCAATGCGGCTATTAAAAAAGGGTCCAAGCTCCCCCCCCATGGTGTCTTGCTTGGTTTTTTGTCGCCTGTCCCTGGAGCTATGATGCTTGCTTTTTTGCTGCTGACGCTGGAGAAGGGATAAGGACGTCAAGGTACTGCATGACTTCTTCCTCCACCTCTTGCCAACCTCTGAGTGTGTGTGTGGAATGGCAGCCCGACAATAGGAGGGGGCGAATTCTCCTTCCATGCTTTTCTCCCTTGTTCGACTGGAGCATTTCTCGTCTTCCGCTTTCAACGAATGTGATGATGCCATGGATTGCGTTTGCTGGTGCTGCTTGCTGCAGCTGCAGGTGAGGTCACACGCTTGCAGATTTTTGCCTGGGTGTCCTGGCCGTCTGCAGCTCTGCCCCCCCACCACAAGCCTCGAACCAAACCTCGCCGCAATGACGCAAATGGGAATTGGCTCTGGAGCCTGATTCTTATTGTTGTTGTTTTTGCTTGCCGCCTCGCCCTGCAAAGCGAGCGACAAACCAACAAATGCAGAGATGGGCCACGCGGTAATCCCAGATTGCGCTGTGTCAAGTGTTTACTCGATAAGTTTCCCGGTTTGGCCCTGTCGTCCGTGTCTCGATCCCTCGATGTAGTAAATAAAGGACGTTTCGTGAGGAGGGGTAAAACTGTCCGTTCGAGGGTCCGGGCTGCCGGAACCAATCACACCTGGACCCGGCTCGTGGTTTTTGGGTGCTTAGGCTGGGTGTGCTGCACCTGTCAGCAGAGGAAGCTTTCCTGTTCCTTATCATGACCTTTCGTTTTCGACACTTGCATTATCGGCAGCAGGCGGGCGGCCGCAGCTGCTAGTAAGCAAAGAGCTGGCGGCACAATTCTGGGCGAAAAACGTCATTCGCTGGTAGACCCGACAGGCGGCTGCAATGCATGATCACATCAAAGAATATTTACCAGTGGGGATCGAAAAGCGTGTGTGAGAGCAGCTGCGTGGCATGTGATTTCCATTTTGCGATATTTGGTATCATAATCCTCGTGAGCAAGCCAGCGAGCGAGAACAAGCGGAAACAAAAAGTGAGGCAACGAAAATGGAGCCTTCGCATCAAGGAAGTCCGTGCGGCCCATCAAGTGAACGTGAGACCCTTGATTGGTAGTCCCCCCCACTGGCATCTGCAACCCGCAGGCGAGACCCGACTGCAACCCAAGACAGGTAGCGGTAGCAGGGCCCAGACATGTAAAACAAGAAATGCCTCGACCGACCCAGATCATCCGTGGGCGCGATCAGGTTGGGTAGATTTGAAAACAGAAATGAAAAATCCAGGTCGTGAAAGTGAACCAAACCTCCCACCGAATGTGTGTTTTCCATGCCCATGAGCCGTTGCGCCGGAAATTCGTAGAGCCAAAAATATAAAAAAAAACCAAAAAACAAAATGAGTGTGTCGTTGACGTATTAGATCCCAAGAGTCCGAAACGCCATACTGCTAACCGAGTGTATAACACTGTGCTAAACAAAAAAAAAAAAAAAAGTCCAAAAACGCCCGATGCAAAAAGCAGAAAAGAATGTGATCCAAATGATGAGTGAAAAAGAAAAAAAAAATCGAGAAAGACGGGCCTTGGCCGAGAGAGGGAGGCGACGCCGATGCGTTCGGGGCACCAACTCGGAGCAAGGCGGGACTCCGGACGGAGCCCATGTGCTGGGTCGTGAGTCGTAAAGCCTCGTTGAGCACGAGATACGCGAAAGGTGAGAGCGGGGCGCGGTCGGATAATGGTTTTGGTGATGTGAAATGTGTGCGTGGGTGGGTGCGTTTGTGTTGTATGAGCGGGTGGGCTGTGTGCAAGAAGGTGACCTCCTGTCTCACCGCCTCTTGCGGGAGCGAGATTGCGTGTATGCACGCAAAGTGGTTGCAGCCGATCTGCAAGGCGCGAGCCCCCCCACCATCCGTGCGAAGACCCCAGATGGGCGTCCACATGGGGGGAAATCCATTACAGGATCTTGTTGGCGAGCTTCATGCTCCGCCGGCGCACGTTGAGGGTGCTCCACCGGTTGTTGGAGCTGGGCCCGGCCGCCGTCTTCTTCTCGGACGAGGTGGGCGACGAGGTCGACGCGGACCGCAGCGAGTCGCGGCGCTCGGGCCGCTGCAGGGACGAAGACACTGCGGTGCGCGGGCGCTGCGGCTGTTGGTGCTCGGGCGTGGCCGGGTCGCGGTCGATGGACGGGCCGTACTCGCTCACGGCGTCGTCGTCAATGGGCGGCATCGGCGACGAGAGCACGTGACTGTCGCGCAGGGCCGAAGTGGGCGTCGAGACGCCGACCAGCGACTGCCGGCTGCGCTTGCGGTTCAGCGTGTTGCTGACGGACCGCGAGAACTCCTTGAACAGGGCCGTGGGCGTCTTGGGTGTCTTTGGCGTGGCCGACGTGGGCGGTTGCTGCTGTTGGGCAGTGGGCGAGACGGCCGACAGCGTCGACTTGCGGGCGGGCGAGGCGTTGAGCGAGGTGCTTCCGTTGGCGTAGGGGTCGATGCTGAGGAACGGCGGCGGCTGCTGCCGGCTCAGCATGGCCGTGAGCATGGCATTGCTGCTCTGCCTCCTGTTCATGTCCATGCTGATCTTGTCTGCCGCCGAGCGGCTGGGCGTTGACGATGCCGAAGAGGCCGACATGCGGTGCGAGAAGGAGAGATCGCTGGTGCTGCTGCTGTTGCTGTGCAGGCTGTCCGTCCTCGTCGACAAGTGACCGTTGTAGCGCAACTCGTCCTCGTCCGTGGTGGTGGTGACCGGCTCGACCCTGCTGCTTCCCGAGGTCATGACGGAAGAGGCCGAAGACGCAAGGTCGTCTGTGCTCACTGTCGGAGCGGTAGGTGTGTTGTTGTTGGTTTCTGAGCGGGAAGTGCATCGTTTACTGCAGTGGGAAAGCTCAATCATGGCGGGCTTTCCGGAAAACACGACGGCGACGGCACGAGCTGTGATCTCGTGGCTCCGCCGCGGTGGTGGTACCGACGGTGACGAGCCCGAGGACGATGTGGGGGATGCGGCGAGCTTGCCCTCGCACAGCTCAACGCCGGCCTCGGGCAGGTCCACCTCGCTGCTGCTCTCCCAGTCGTAGTCGGAAAAGTCGTCGGCCGAGGAAGAGGCGTCCTCCTCGGACGAGAGGTAGACGTCGTGAGGGGTGGCGACCTCACGATGCGCATCGAGCTTGATTATCATGCCGTCCAGCATCCTGGACCGGCGGGTGTTCTTGTTGGGGAGTGGTGGGGCGGGCGGCGAGGTGGGCGCTGAAGACGTGTCGCTGGCCGACGTCTCAAACATCATGGGCCTCGCCTCCTGCAGTGCTGCTGTGGCCGCCATGTTGGTCTTGGTAGCCGGTTGCTGTCTGTGCTCCTCCAAGGCCTGGTAGAACTCCTGGTATATCACGTTGTCGAACGAGTCCTGGCGGTGGTGCGTCTGGTTCGCCGTGTGGTGGGCGACAGCGTGAGATGTGGTATAAGTGCTTCTGCTGCTACTGTTGCTGCTGCTGGCGTCCTGTGCAGGGCAGGAATGGATCTGGTCCCTCGTCGAGGCGGAGGGCGGCTCTATCAAAGACATGGCCAAGCAAACGGAAGCGCGAGGTGTTCGAGGGACCGTCTACTGGAGGGAGACGGCGGATAGATCAAGGTTTCCTGGGCTGGGCCTGCGTGCCCTGGATGGACTTGTCTTGATTGGGATCTGCGTGGGTTGGTAGCTCGTACGTAGGTGTGTGAAATGATGAAGGGAAAGGGTTAGCGCTAGGCTAGATGAGCTTCTAGCTAGCAAGGAGAATGAGATTGAATACTCTAGAGAAAACCGCTGCGATTCATGGCTCCAACAACTCGGCGGGCAAGGTGATAATAAAAAGGAGCGCGAGCCAAGAAGGCAGAGCCGGCATGCCGGCCATGCCCCTGCCCCATGACCACACCCCTGCTGGCTCCTTTTTTTGGGTGTGGGTAGGGGTAGGGGCAGGAGGCATGGAGCCATGATGCCTGGCCCCCTCCCCTGTGCCTGTACCCATGCACCTTAATGGAGGGACTCGTGTTGCCAGGGTGGGGATAGGTCGTCCGCCAAGGGGGGTGCAGCAGGTACCAGCGTACCCAGGTACCGGCGACGCCCAAGTACTCCGTGCAATTGGACGCGAGGCAAACTGTGCGCGATTCTCGCTGTGTCGCCAACCATCGCAAACTGCCTGGGGGAGGGAGTGACAACAACATTCGCTTCTGGCGAATCCATCAGGCTGAGGCTTCCCTTTCGTTATGACTGTGCTCAGCGTTATGACTGTGGTCAGCGGCCGGGCCAGCTCCCTCGATTCCATACAGGATGCTCACTCAGTGTGCTCGTCGAGCTGGTCGGGTTACTCATGTCGGCAGCAGACCCGGGCGTCTGTCGAGCATGTCTCGTCCCGTTTCATCACGTCCGACGCATGCCCAAACGGGCGACAAGAACAATGAGGCAGCAATTCCGTATCTCGCACACGGTTTCCCTTGCCGCCTTGCATGCCCATCGGCCAGCACGGATTCTTGTCCTGGCCCTCGCCTGAATCTAGTTTGGTGGAGAGGGGGAGCAAGGGCGGGCGGGGTTCGAGGCGGGCAATGGAATGAGGGCTCGCGATACGTGCAACCGCGAATGCCCAAAGCTTCGGGGGACCGACTACCTTTGGTGCTAGGAGCAAGGGGGAGAGAAGAGGAGGGCTAATGAAGCTTGATCTGCCGACATGCCTCGATCGCATCTGTGCTCCGACTTCCCATCCGAGCTCCCTTGGCCAAGTCCCGAGGGCCTCTGGGGCAGCTCGGTCCCAGGCGATCGAATCGAGTGGGCTACCTGCTTTGGCGATAGCTTCGTCTGTGGGCCTTTTCCTGCATGACTCTTGCCCGCCCGTCGTTCGCCTCAATATGCACGCTCGTCCGCTCAACCCCTTGCATCCTGTGTCTGTCCCAGGGCACCTCTCTCGAGGATGACGTTGGGAGAGTTGCGCCGAACTGATTCAGCCATTGGCCGATCGCATTCTCCAGGGTGGTTCTATCTGCTCGCCCCGCCATCTCAAAGGACGGTCTGCAAACTTCAGGTATGGATGACACCAGAAAAAAAATAAAAGAGTGTGGTGTGAGATGGACGATGGGAACTAGCCCACTCTCAACCACGTAGCCAAAGCTAAAGCCAAAAACCCCTTCCCCACCACCACCACCGTCGAGCCTGATGGAACGTCAACATCGTCATCACGCTTCCTCTGGCCAGGCACACCCAATCCCAAGGACGGTGTGACCAAAAAGAGTTCCCCGTCGTCGATCGCGCGCGGCGATTGGCTGTTGTGACAGCCGCAGGTGATGATTGGACTGCACTTGGGATGCGGGCCAAGGTCCTGACGCTGGGCGGCAAAGCAAGGAGGATCCAGACATTGGAGGATCCAGACATTTCTCTTGGGCCGGCTGGTCGGCAGAGATGCGCCATGTAGCGCAACAGTAAGTAGCACCAGCAGCAAAAAATGCATTGAGGAGCAATTCTGTGCCCGCACCAAGGGCATTGACGACGAGTCTAGATGGCACGCAGGCGAGCAATAATCGATGCATCATCCCTCGCTGGGGCTTACTGGCTGGCTGGGTGTCTCTGGCGGAGGCGCGACTTTGGCCGCCTGGCGTAGTAAAGCGCTCCCTCCGGATCGCGGGGCTGGACTCGGAGCTGATACACTCAGATATCCCCGTTCCCCCGAGACAAGTCATTCCTGAGGAGCCGCACAGGAGCAGCATCTCCCTTGCAGAATGAAGCAGCCTAGGCACCTAGGTACACTGCTACAGCTGCTGCTGCTTTCAAAAGAGTAGAGAAATGTACAAGGCATGTTTTCTGACTGTGCTCCTGGCCTCGCGTGGGGAGGCCGCACCCAAAGGTGTGGCGGTGCCGCCCGGCCAGCGGCTGCAATGCGGGACGCGTACGAACTCGCGCGGCTGGGACTCGGTCACGGCAGTGCATTCTTTCTGACAGCTCTCTTTCCCGCGGGCTGCCACCCAGCTGGGTTCGGGAGTGAGACATGCCTACATGCATTTCTGACGAGGGCTGAATCGTCCACATGTCTTTTGTCCACCCCCCTCCTCCCCGACCAAGGCTGCAAATGAAATGGGATGAGTTGAACCCCGCCAGGAGGTCGGTGGTTAGTTGGTGCATGGAGGTGTCTTGACTTGAGGCTGTCCAGAATTAGAAAGCGTCTGAGACGTTCAATGCTCCCTCCTCCCGCCGGCGCCCAGGATCTGCTTGTCTGGCGGTGGCTAGAAAGCTCGATACTCGATATGACCTCACTTTATTGGTGCACATACAACAAATTAGGTTCCATGGCGACGAAGCCGCCTCTGGCGGCTTCTGGGATCGGTGCGTGCATGTGCGGGGTCGGGCCAGATGTGGCGATAACTCTGCAGCACACTCAAACTGGGCTCCCATGCCACCAGACCAGACCGCTTGCCGCCTCTCTCCCCATCATGATGTCGAATTTGTTCCGATATTTGATCACACCACATATTCCCCGCCCCTTGTTTTTGCATGCGCGCGCCTTTTCACAACAAGCACGCACACACACAGATATGAAGGACGAATAATGAAAAAATGTGTGGCAAAGTGTGTGTGTGTGTGTGGGGAGTGCGCCATCGATAAACTTGACGCACAATGCCTCGCAACAAGCGTGTGACACCTGCAGGCCTGGTGGGTGGTGGTGTAGGAGTCCTCCCAGTCGACAAGTTCGGCTTGCTGGCCAATCAATCGCCGTCCCTGTTGATGGCAGTCGACCAAGGCTGATTTGTTCTCGACTTGATTTGTCCTCGACTCGCCCGCCTAGCGATTACGGGCCCTCTATGGAGCTAAGACGGGAAAACAACACACCATCTTTTTTGTTTTCTGGCTGAGCGTTGAAGCATCCTATTCGGCCAATGGGATCTGTATCTTGGAAATGAGATATCAAGTCACTGGGGACGAGCTCAACTCGGCGATCCGAATGTCCCTACACAGTCCCATCGGCGGAGGCCGACCCTCAGCCGGATGGAGGACCGGCTGACTGCGGACTGGATTGCCGGAAGAGGGCATGAAAATGCCGTCAGAGAGACACAGGCAGACGGCCACCCACTCAATCCGCGCGAGCCGCAGCCGGAATCGCGCTGATATCAGCGCTCGAATCAGCGCTGAGCGTTTCGCCAGGCCTTTATTCTGATGTTATGCACTAAATTCTTCTATCATCACGGGTAATGGGCGCCTCATCATATCGCGTTGTTGCATCCCACGCCTCACATCCAGCCGTGTTGTCACTCTCCACCCGACATCCCTGTGCGTCCTAATCAAAGGCTAGCGCCGTCGTGCGAGAGAGGCGTTTTGGATTGCGGGCCCCCCCTCCTAGAAAGCTCGCAGCCCGCCCACTGACGAGAGGCGCTTCCGGGGTGGCTGTCGAGCCCATTTCCTCATCCTCTCACCTCGCGCGCACGGGGAGTCCACGCTAGCGAGCTAGCGCAGGTCGGCTGCGAGCTACTGGCGCCAAGTCTCAAGGGAGAGGAGGAGGAGGAGGGTGATGAGGTCGACAACCCTGCCAACCCATACCCCTCTGGCTCTGAAACAGCGGCCGGTTCTCCTTGCCGATGCTGTTCATCTGATGTTCCCTTTGGCGGCCAAAAGCAAAGAGAAAGAAAAAAAAACCCTGTCTTGCTGATATGATCCAGCAAAGGCGTGCACATCGTCGGCTAGAGTCCATTTTGGCATATTCACCGATGACTCGTCCAACAAGGACATCTCGGAACAAGCGCCACAACTCAGGAGCTGGAGCAGACAGCTGCACATCAAACCCCAAACCAAACACTGGTGTAAAACAGACCCAACAACCAAAAAGCTCGCCAACGATATCAGCCAGTCTCTCTGTGGTTGCGGTACGTGTATGCACGCACTGCTGTTCTGTTTAAGCATACCTCCTGGCCGACCCGCCAGGGCGTGAGCGCCGCGCACGGGCAACATCTGCGGCGGCCGGCAAGCTGAACAGTCAGCGGTGACAAGAGGTGCTTCAAGATTGCACGCAATGCGCAATGTGCGTGGAGCCCTCTGGCTTGAAGGCTGACCTCGCACGGTCTCCCGAAAAAAGTCTGGATCGCAATTTATTCCCTACCACCACAAAAGGAGCTCATTCAATCTGCAATTATTTTACCCTCTGCATTTATAAAAAGCGAAAAACGTTATTGTGGCTATAAGTAATGCTTTTTGCATAAAAAA